TCCGAAGTCTTTGCCTCCTGGAAACGCTTGGTGTAATCTCTGTGCCAGAGGAAGAATTGGAGGTTTTCGGCGGCGAGCTCAATGTAGACGAGATAGTTCATAAAGTCGCGAACAGTGCAGGGCTGACGAGTCAGTTACGATCATTGGGACGCTAAGAATGGGTACCTACAGGGCATGTGCCGCCGTTGATGATCTTGTCAAAGGCCAAAGATTCAGGGATTCCGGCAGGAGTACTAGACTTGCCAGACTTCAGAGAGGAGGTAGTGCTGCTGCCCTTCTCGTCGCCACTGTCAGACACGTCAGAGGAGCTCCCATGGACGGAAGTGCCCGTGACGTAGACAGGGCGGCGGTAGCTGAGGGGAAGAAGGCCCATGATGAACGAGGGATTCGTCAGGGATGGTGTTGAGGTAGATGATTCGCGTTGGCGAGAGTATCGTAGGGTCTAGGTGTCGTGAAGAGAGTTGGTGGAGGGAAGATGGATGGTTGTGAGTATCGGTATAAGTTGAAAGCAGGATTGAGTGAGTGTTGACGGTGACGTTTAGCAGGACCGCACTGGAACGAGAGAGCTATATTAGGTAGTTGTCGATGAAGCGAACTGTAAGCTACTGCAAGATCAGAACTGGTGTTCGCCTCGTGGTTGGTGAGACTGGAGTAGCGATGGAATAACCGGGTGTCTGGGAAGGAATGAACGGCGGGAGGGCAGGTGTGATATATGCGCTGCCCTGAGCCTGCATTCCGCGTATCCCCAGATATTGGGCCGGAGCTGATGTGACGGGCGAGACGGCCAGACCCCACACAGCCATCACGGCTAGACCAGGTTGTCAAGCTTTGGCCGGCTTCCGTTGACGGAGAGGGCTGAAGCTGGACCAATCCACAAAGTGAAGTTTGGCCTGCGCCGGGGTCGCGGTGGAACCGGATGGAGGAGGCGGCCACACGTTTGGTGTCTTTGGCGGACGAGAGTGGGCGAGGACAACATGGGAGGTGGGGCGTGGTTTCTTCTCGGCCTTGAGAAAGAGTGATGCCGATATCAAGAGGAACTTGGCAGGCATGGAGATAGACGCAGACGTACTAGCGTGGACGGACTGGAGTGGACGCAATGTATTAGAGTGAGAGACATGGCTGCGAGTGGGTGTGTTGACCGTCGGCCGAGGAGAGAAGGAAGAATGGCGCTAGCCGCTTGCATCGAGTGTTTGTTGAAGCAGAGAATTCAAGGTTCATGGCCGACACGGTGGCCGTTGCATCTTTCTCGTCTTGCAAAGGCAAGCGTCTGTGAGGTTGAATCGAAGGTGAAGGTGGTACGTTAGGGAGCGACGGTCGTTGACGACTCGGGAGACGCAGCCATCCGCAAGTGCGATCGATGAAAAGCAACTGCACGCAACGAGCGACGCCTCGTCAACGCCGCTGCGTCCTGTTCAGGCGCATCTCCAACGAAGAAGTGACGAAAGACCCAATGCGGCAGAATCCCAGCTGATCATCCGCAGCAGCTGGTGATTGGTAGAGCCGGACAGGCACTAGCATCGCGGGCTTCCCCGAACGAGTTAGGAGGGCTTCGACAGCTGAGACAGTCGAGCTGGGCTTGCTTTTCTTGGTGACCACTCCGTACCCTCGAATCTGGCTGCCATGCTTGGGATAGATGGATGGAAATGAGAAACATGCAGTTAATCCCGGCAGTCTCCATGGCACTGCAGAAGATCGGCTTCGGGTTGGAGAAATCCACAGCCTGATGTTTTTTTGGTGGTTTTTGTTTGCTTGGTGGATGTCAACTCGGCAAAGGCCGTGGTTGACAAGAATATCTTCATGTTCGACGAGCTGAGGGACCCCAAGGCAATCGAGGCCATGTCCGGAAGCTGGGCCGTCCGTTTTCCTCATGACTCCAGCGGGCTGGACCCGAACGGGAGGGAGCTACCGGTAGCTCTCAGCACTATGACGAGCTGGGCGCCGCCTCCCATCCCAAGCCTGCATCACCAAAGGCCTCGTCTGTTGCGGGCGAAAGAGCGCCACCCAGAGAGTCAGGGTCTGAGACGTATCATCAGGCACGGTACAGGCGCGTCTTTGCTTTGTTGCCGAGGTCAGGTAGTAAGGCATGATGCTGAATTCATCAGTCTCAGCGGGTCAGTCAGATCATCCATTACGAAAGTCTTCTGGAAAAGAAAAGAAAGACGGCGCGCTGGTAACCAACCGAAATCGATATCTCGCGACAAAAGAAAGGTGAAGCTCATGCATTGGGTAGTCCGCATTTCGTCCAATCTAACTTTGGACCAGGGAGAGCCACTGGAGAGGGTCGCTCAACGAGCACAACCGCCTCGTCCACCACTAGTCCCAGGCGAGGCGGGCAGGACAAGCTGGGAACAGGCAGTGGAGAGGGAGGAGACAACGGGTCAAGTTGGGACTGTGTGGTCGTGGTGTCGAGTGAGGCGTTTGGAGGCTTGCTTGTTTTCACGTTGCGTAAAGGGAGAAAGCAGTCACTCACTCACTCAGGCTTCATTCAGCAACTTAGGCCGTCAGTCACCTCAGAGGGGCAAGAGGAAGCCAGCCGCCAAAAAGCAAGCAGCAGGAGCAAGGGGCAAGAAGTTCGGGCTGACATGGTCTGTGCTGCTTCTGCTGACCGAAGCACGTGCACGGACCAGGAACTGCCTCCTGCCACCCATCCAAATAGGAAACAGGGGTGGGCGCTTGTCCGGTGAGAACCTTCCCTCAGCTGCTCTGCATCAAAGATGCAGACATCTGCTTCCCGCAGAAGGTGCAGAGCTGGGGCCAAGAGCTGCCCCTGCCCCTGTCCTTGCCCCTGCTGGATCCAGCCTCGATCTGTGCCTGCCAGTCCGTCGTCAAACCAGGCACGACCGAGGAAAGCTCCCGTCCAAGTGTGAAGCCGTCTTCCAACTCCAACACCAGTGGCATCAGTACCCAACCATTCATCATCGTCGTGAGAGCGCCTGTCAGCCCGACAAGGAGTCTCCGACCATCGATCGTGTCGCATTCTCTAGTGTCGATATCGACCCCAAACCTTCGCCGTTACTCTGCGCCAGTCCTTGACTTTGTCCTGCTCAGCCCTGTCATACAATTGTCCCCGAGAACAAACGACCTGCAGATCGCGTGCCCGCACCCACGTTTCTATCATGAGGTTTAACAGAAACAATGGTCCTTGATCGCAACGAGCCGACCTTCAGGGCCAGATCGGCGCGTCTGATTCCCTGACTGCCTCTCTGGAGGACAATCGACGCTTGGCATTGCTCATGTCCGTCGAAATCGTTTCTCTTCGCTGTGTCTGGCGGCCCTTTGATGCCCATACATGTCCGAATGCAATCTTGTTGGTTGTCGGTCTTGATACGAGACAAATGGCAGCGTCTGCACCAACGGCTGTCTCCTGCTCCCTGACCAAGGGCACCTCGATCATGTCTTTTCGCGAATCGCTCCGTCAACCCCCTGCTGGAGAGAAACAGCCAATCAAGACCCCGACCGGCAGAATCTCCAGCTCGTTGCGTCCAAACACCAACTAGATGCGGTCTAGGCCGGGAGACTCCAGCGTCAAAGAAAACTGGCTCCTATCTTGCTAGCCTCGCCGACTACCTTCGCCGACCTCCGCCTTTGTCTTGCGGTGCGACAACCGATTCGATTGCGCTCCCGATCACGCCCTGTCCGTGCAACTCGATTGACTAGTCTTCCGAATTGGCCGGACTTCAATGGTTCCTCCTTACTGACTAGTATTCTGGGGAAGAAGCGATGGCCCAGTCGTGCTTCAACGTCGCGCCAGGAGACCCAATGGGACGCATACAACGACACCCACAATCTGAGTAGGCAGTTGGCTCTTGAAAGCGCAGGACGGGAGGGTCTACGACAGACGAGACAACAGGCACAACGATACACTCTACAGAAGGTGCTGCAGTCACGCCCTGGACGGTTGAAGAGATCATGGTGTCGTTCACGTTCTTCCAGTCAATGTCCAAGTTTTGATGCCGACACGCTGCTCGGAGAGCTGAAGACATCCCAGTGCAAATCATTGCTTCTGCGCCGAAGCGACCCTCTACATCGGGGCAGGCGGCGACAGCTTGCACAGTATCCCTGTGCCGGGCCACACGTCACTTTCCCAATTGCGACGCTGTTCCCGGTCCGAGGAGGGGGATCTCCCGGACAGATGCCAGCTACGTCTCGCATTGGCTCGCCTATCGGGGCAGCTGGGTGCCCATATTGTCCGCATTGCACCGACCGCGTCTTCTCGGTGAGTGAGCTTTTGACCTCACCAACTTGACTGCCAAGCCAGCCTGCGGCCATCCTCAAGCCAAATGGAGTCGACTTAGACGAACGTTTCGGTTGGTGTGACGACGAATAAGCAGTATCTGGAGCTAGCATTGGGCTTGGTTCATTCCACAGTCTGGACCGTTGGCTCTGCTCTCCCGCAGGGGCCGCTCTTCTTGCTGAGCTCGCGCCTCCACCCCAGTCCGTGTCTTTGGGTCGTGGCGCCAAGCTCCTGTCACGATCTCAACTCCTCACATTAGCAGGGTTGATTTCCGGCATGTTCCTGCGCTAACGTCCACCATGGCTGGCGCAGTCCTCTCCATCTGGATTGACACAGGTTCTCGCCGACGGCCTGGGTTGCGTCTGCAGCCTGTGGCTGTCCAGGCAAGCACGTTTCCTCCTCGTGAATCACTTATGAGCGGCTTACAATGGAAGCCCGGAAAGAATGCGAATGTCTCTGACGACTTAAAGATGTGTCTCGCAGCTGGACATTGAACACGTGTGGCTTGGGATCGTCAAAGCGGCAGGCATGCTTTGCAGCAAACGAAACACGTTTAAACAACAACATAAATTTACATGGGCGCTCATGGATTCCTCCTGATGAAGTTTGTGGCACGAAAATACTCTCTCGATTCGATAGTTTCGAGACGACAAGTCTCTGGTACCTTTCATCCGCCGCCGTGACACCTTAGTCGGCGGGAAAGATGAGACATTGCTCAATACAGCACCTTAGCTCAGGAGCGCCCATCAGCAGACGTCTCGGAGCGTCACCAGTGTTTTTCGGAGATGTCGACGGTATTAACATCCACGCCGTCCTTGAACCACCTCTGCGCATCTTCAATCTTCACGTCGTTCCCGCTCATTTGCCTTTTGCGCATGAGACCGTTTTCTGCAAAGGTCCAATCCTCCAGGCCATAGGTCCGCCACCACTGTCCCGATTCGTCATGCCACTCATACCAGAACTGAACAGCAATCTGGACATCGTCAGCCATGCCTTTTAAGAATTGGAATTCGGAATATATCGGTACGTCACTCACTTTATTGTCGGTGAAGGCAAATAGCTCTTTTCGGAGGCGGTAGCCATTTTCCTTTTCCCATTTCTTGGTCAGCCACTGCTCGACCTCGTCCCGGCCTTGCAGGAAGGTGTCCCTGTTCCTCCAGATGGTGTCTGGCGTGTATGCCATCTTGACTTTGGACGGGTTTCTGTGCTTGTCAGACTTCTGCGTTCACCGAGATGAAGAGCACGGACTTGGTGTTCCAACCATCCTGGGCCGCCTTGACCTTGGTCCTCGCCGTTTCCTCAGTGAAGGGCGGGAAGGGAGGTCGTGATTCGTCTTGCGTGGCCATAATTACAGCTTTTTGTTTCGATTCCTATTACCAACGTCTTTTTGCACGATGCTTTGACGAGCTGGACTGCGTTGAGCGCAAATGATATACGAATATGACGCAACTGTGAACTCGGGAGATGCACGCAATAAACGGACGAAGCAACCAATCACGGCACGATCCGACAGGGATATCGGTGTCTGTCAGCTGTCACCGACGCCCTTGGGGGATTTGGGCAGATGCCGCGGGGTCTGGTCTCGGTGAACGAACGACGGCGGCGAGTTCTAAAAATTGCAGCTGCAGAGTCATAAGGCTGAAGGCGTTCAAAACTTTTTCATTTCTTTTGCATCATCTAGCATCGTGGCAGCCAGGCGTTAGTCAGGGTCCGACGCCGGCCGCGCCCAGACAGAGGCGACATCAGGCGCACGGCGCATCACCGTGAATCAGGTACCAGCCGGGAACGCTGCATTTCGGTAACTCGCCCGGCGATTTTGGACGTCTACTCAACAAACGCTCCTGTAGCTTCTGCACATCATCGACACATGTTTAAATCAGGCGCGCCGGATCTCGACGACCCGTCCCGATCCTTGTCCGTGATGACAAACCAGACTTCTCACTAACTCAAATCAATTTGTGGTTTGCCAGGGCTTGGCGAATTAACTCCGAAGAGGGCCCCCAGGGATGGGCCGAAAGACAGGCAGTGTGAGCTCGGACGGCCGAGACCTCAGAGGCCTTCGCGCGGCCCCCACCGGGGAGGTCGACCACGAGGGGCGCGCCGGGGATCGGAGGTTTGGGCGACGTGCCACATCCAAACGGACGCGGCATAAACGGCCGGTCTTGCGTCATGTCTAGGACTGTGGACCAAAGAGGTGCGCAAACTGGTCCTTGGTGTGTCTAACGTGCAGGAAGATAGCAAATGTCTAATTAGCTTTTTTTTTGGTGTATCCCACCCTAGGTGAGGTACCCGTCGCCGTCTTATCGGCGCCGGAAGTTTTTACTGGAAATATCTCATCGTGATGGCTGGGGCCGGGCCAGGCTGGATCCCCGTCGTATTCCGCCGCGTCCAATGTAAGGTACCTGACCTGCCTACTTGCAAAGGCACGGAAAGCAGCACCTCACACAGCAGCTGCGCCCACTTCTTTTTTGTCACAGAAACTGCAGAAGCAGGCAGGAGAGGAGCGGCGACCCGAGGGAAGCTGCCGCGGGGGGTCTTCGGGGGGAGTGGAGGGGCAACTGGAGGGGAGGCCACTTCCACGTCGAACATAACCGGGCCTACCGTCCCAGGAAAGAGTGGCCGCCCCGCGCCTATCTACAGAAATACAAATCATCGGCGCAGCTCCACTTCCCTCGACGTGGAATCTCGCAGAATTCAGCGCGGGACCCTGACTCGACGATCGTCTTTGCCGCCGCTGGTTGCTGCGAAACCCGGTGCCAGCCTCAGACTACTAATTGAAGCTCCTTTCTCTCTTCCTCCCCCGGACTTGCTTCCTCTCTCCTTCAACCAACTCACTCACAACCACACACACTCAACCTTTTCCCCATCAACACCAACCCAAACACATTCACAATGGCTCCTATCAAGGCTGGCGAGCAGTTCCCCGAGGGTGTCAACTTCCAGTACATCCCCTACCAGGCCGAGACCTCTGACTTCAAGGTCTGCGGTATCCCCATCAAGTACGACACCGCCAAGGGTAAGTCACGTCGTGCCTCCTCTCCTCTGCTTCTGCTGTCCTTTGGGCCACGATGCTGATCGCCTCCCCGCGCAGAGTTCAAGGACAAGAAGGTCATCATCGTCGCCCTCCCCGGCGCCTTCACTCCCACCTGCTCCGCCGCCCACCTTCCCGGCTACATCGCGAAGAAGGACGAGCTCAAGGCCAAGGGCGTTGACCAGGTCATCTTCCTCGCCTACAACGACCCCTACGTCATGTCCGGCTGGGGCAAGGCCAACAACGTCACCGACGACTTCATCGTGAGTTCTTTTCTCGGTTGCTGTTCTTTCCTGCCACATCATCAAACACTTCCATGGTTGTTGCTGTTGTCTACCCCTCCCCCTCCTTCCGTGGGGCCCTCACCGACTCCGATAAAAATGATTGCCCCCACCCCGCCAGCCCACTTTCGTCAGCCCCTCCGCCAGTGGTCGATTATGATACCACAGGAGAAGGAGGAAGCTTGATCGTTGCAGAAAAATCACATCATTGGGCAACTGTGTCCTCTTAGCAATCAGAAACAATGAAGACTAACACCGGCCTCCCACAGATCTTCTGCACCGACAACAACGCCGAGTTCTCCACCTCCATCGGCTGGAACCACGGCGAGCGCACCGCCCGCTACGCCATCGTCGTCGACCACGGCAAGATCATCTACGCCGAGAAGGAGCCCGATCTGCAGGGCCAGGAGGTCTCTGCCGTCGAGCCCGTCCTCAAGGCCATCTAAGGTCCTGCCGCAGGTCTTGATAAAATGCTTATGACGAGATGACACACAAACCCCCAATTAGAGAGAAAAGGGAGGAAATTAGACAAAGACGCCTAGACGACAGGAGACGAAAAGTTCTTTAGACATTCCCCCTCTTTCATTCTTTAGAATTTAGAGCAATGAAATTTGAGTAAAATCATCATCTTTTCCCTCGTTGGTGTGAGATGCCGCCTTTGCTGAAGGAATGAGAGCTAGGTGAGGTGAGGTGAGGGGTCGATGTGCGTTGAGTTGTCCAAGTGCTCCGGCGCGCGCGGGGGATGGGAGCTCGGAAATCCGACGCGGGGCCGGGGTTGGTCCTCCGATTCGTGCGCGGCGGACATCAAGGTTGGGTGATCCGATCGCTTGGGCGTGGTGTGGTTCATCTCATGTCGAGTCATATTGTGTTGTATGAGCGCTGCAATGCCACTGGCTTTCTGCATGTTTAGCTGGCTGGATCTTGCATCAATTGTTGCGCGTAAGGAAGAAATGGGTAGATGCTACGAACGGCGGAAGGGGTTCATTTTATTTCCAGCTCGTGGCATATGTGTGAGAGATTGCTCGCAGCGGGAATCTGGTTCTCGTCCGATTGATATGCGCATGTGTCTTGATTTGCGAGGTGAGTTTGGTGTCGACGGTGGCTGGGACGTAAGATGCAGTGTTCAACAGCGCAGAGACGAAGCGTACCTACCTAGTACGACGGGCAACTCGACGGACTTTGTACCATGCTGACTTCGCGGCACAGGTGGGATGGATGGATGGTTGGTTTACCGGATCAGTCCTCCCGTCGCCTTTTCGATTTTGATCTCACTGTTTGTCTCTGCTTGCGTTGCGTGGTGAGGCGTCTCGGTCATGGTGGCGACGTATGGATACATCACGGGTTGTTTGATAGAGGACTCGCGCTGGGTGAGGATGGCACTGTCTGGCCTCCCTTGGGAAAGCGTTCTATGGCTCCCATCTGAGCAGGCCATCGTCTGGCGGTAGGACAGTCCGGTTGAGGTGGCGCTGTTCGGACGGCAGCAACATTTTGGGCGAGATTACATGTAAGCCCATCGTGGGACGAGGTCATCAACGCCTAGGGGTGCCGAGGTATGAAAGCATCACGTCAGTCATAACCATTCCAGAGACAAGCAATTCGACGACTGGCGGATCAAGTCCCATGCAATACATCACGTTCATCATCTCACAGACACAGCACCCCACCAAGAGCAGCATCACGAACATCACCCCTCCGCTTCATGACGACAAATCTTAACTTGGTAATCCCGTGGGACAATCCATGCATTCCGTGCTACCGTGATTTGTGTAGTTATAGAACCAGCCGTCAAAAGCACAAAGAACCCTCGACTCCAGATTGTGTGTGTGGTGGTTGGACCTGGCTTTAACGCGTTTCGTATTTTGATCCATTTACATTCCTCGCCAAACCCCGTCTCGAGGCCGCGCCGCCGGGCTACGGCGGCGGTGGAAACCGCAATGCATTTCCCCTTCGCTTTTTGGTGCCCACACGCTTCCCTTGCCAAAAAAAGACCATAAACCCCCTCACTGAGTTACTCCATCAAGACAGAGAGATTGACATCTTAGCGGGTGGTGGCCTTGACCTTGGGGGCGGAGCCCTTGGCGCCCTGCTTGCCGACGATGCGGCCGGTCTGGCCCTTGCCGGCGGCGGCGTTCTTGGCCTTCTCGGCCTTCTTGGCGGCGTTGGCCTCGGCCTTCTTGTCCTTGGACTCCTTGATGGCGGCGGCGCGGGCGGCGGAGCGGGCCTCGGGGCGCATGGAGCGCTTCTCCTTGATCACATCGAGGGAGGCACCAACGATGGCACGCTGGGCCTTGACGGTGCGGCGGGTGCGCTTCTTGGCAACCTCCTGCGGGGGGAATCAGCAATCTGCATCGGGGCGAAGGACGAAGGGTGACATACCTCAGAGATACCCTTGCGGTGTTGGCGGCGGTACAGAACGGTCCACGAGATGCGGCGGGGGTTCTTGCGCTGGAGGAAGAGGGACTCGGACTTGCCGTTCTGGAAACGGAAGATCTTGCTGTCACCACGGACGTAGAGCTTACCCTGTATTCAGAGTTCTCGTCAGCGCCTTGTTCAACCATGCGTGATGTGCCTGCCCATTGGTCCCAGTCTGCCTGTCCTCGGCATGCAACATCGTTCCCGTCGATCGTCGTTGTTGTCCTTGCTCTCGTCCATTCGTGTCCCATCTGATCTCCTTCTGCATTGCCCCTCCAGATCCTGCACAACTGATCGACGGGAAGACGTTGGGTTTGCCGTGGGCGGAGACGGGGGATTGCACTGAGCTGGCCGATGGTGGTTCTATCGTACCTTTCCAGGGTAGATTCTCTGGCCCGAGAACGAATCGTCGTACGTGCGCATCTTCTCGATTGTCAGCAAGCCTCCTCACATTGGAACCGTCTTTCCCATCCGTCCAGGTCCCTTCGCAAACACTTCTTTCCTTCCCACGATGCCGGCCGCACTCAAAGCCCACGAGCCGTCGTCCAGTCGCAAAAATCCTTCACAATACACCAAAGTGACGTCGACTCATGGCTCGGTGGCAAGGGCGCGGTGCGGCGCGGCGATCGTGGGAAAAAAAGCGAAAAGTATCTTCGAAAAAGGGGATGGACGTAGGGAACCGCAGCAAGGATTCAAAGAACATACATTGGCGGTATTGAATGCGAACGTTGGCTGACTTGTCGGTGATGGGGGGGAGGTCGAAGGAGGAAGTCCAAGGCGTCACGCTCTTTTGCTGAGATTCAATTTTCGCAACGTCGCGCGGGCGGTGCGGTTTGGGCCGGTGTTGTGGGGAATTCGCTCCTTCCCTCAGTGCGGTGGTTGTAAAGCCCTGGGTGCCCCACTCTGGGACGGCCGTCGTTCGCTTAAGAGCGCCAATCACGTGCTCGGACTGGGAAGGAAGGAAGGAAGGAAGGTGCGCTCCGACTTGTGTGCCTGCCGTGTGGCGCGCTGGTGTTTGCCCTGATGCCCTGTGGCGGTGCACGAGTTCCGCCCGCCCGCTTTCAGTGGTTCCGCGAGGTGCTGGTCACTTACATCGAACGGGATGAGTTGCTGGGTGAGAGTATCACGACCGCTTTTGCAACGCATGACTGTCGCGAACCCGAATGCCGTGGCTGACTTGGTCCTGCGCCGGTTCGGGGAGCTGCCGGCCAAGAGGAAGCCTGCGGTCAGAGACAATGGCCTGCACGAGTGGGTTCCCCTGAGCGGCATCGTTACTGAGCGGGATGGCGTCCTGACGTGTCTGTCTCTTGCGTAAGTTGGGCGTTACATGGTGTTTTTCGTTGGAACTTCTTTCACGAGATTTGGCGAGATTTACGATAGGCACGATGTAACTAGCATGAATGGCAATACTCAAATCCACCCTCACTCGCCTCCCATCTTCATGTGAGCTGGACTAACACCCAGCAGGACAGGCATGAAGTGTCTCCCGGCCGCCAAACTCCCCCAGGCAAAGGGGAACGCCCTCCACGACTGGCACGCTGAGGTCCTCGCCATCCGCGCCTTCAACCGGCATCTCCTGGATGAATGCCGCCAGCTCCTGTCAGGGGAGTCAACCCTCGTCAGACGCCGTGAACATCACGAGATATCCCCAGACGCGCCCCAGCCGTTCGCAATACAGGACGGCGTCGCGCTGCACATGTACTGCACCGAAGCGCCATGCGGCGACGCAAGCATGGAACTCACCATGGCCGCGCAGGAGGACGCTTCGCCGTGGGATATGCCCGCCGCTGCTCCCTCCGAAGACGCCGGCACGCTCCCCGGACGGGCCTACTTCTCCCGCCTCGGCGTCGTCCGCCGCAAGCCCGCGCGCGGCGACGCCCCGCCCACCATGTCCAAATCCTGCTCGGACAAAATCGCCCTGAAGCAGTGCACCTCCCTTCTCTCCTCTTTAACCTCGCTGCTCATCTACCCGGGCAACGCCTACCTCTCCTCCCTCATCCTCCCGGAGACGCAGTACTCCGCCGCCGGGTGCGAGAGGGCCTTCTCCGCGCGTGGCCGCATGGCGAGTCTTGACGGCCAGGCGTGGAGTGGCGGGTACAGGTTCGCGCCGTTCGAGGTGCGCACCACGGAGCGGGAGTTTGCGTTCTCGAAGCGGGAAGTGAAGGCACGCGCGGAGAAGATTGCGGCGAGTAATCTGGCCGCGGCGTGGACTGCCGGCGGGCTTGAGGAGGGGATGATGGGGGGCGTGTTGCAGGGCCGCAAGGCGTTTGATGCCAGGGGCGCGAGTGCGGTGTCGAGGCGGAGGATGTGGGAGGAGGTTGCGGCGATTGCGGATGAGCTCGGAGATGATGGGGAGGGGTTGAGGAGTGCACTGGCTGGGGTGACGTATGCGGATGTCAAAGGAAGCGAGATGCTTGCGGCGAGACGGGAAGTCAAGATGGAGGCGAGGAGGGAGGCTCTGGCTGGCTGGGTTGCCAATGTCGGGGATGACAAGTTTGAGCTGCCCAAGAGGTGACCTCGAATGGGCTTACGATACCAAAGACAGGAGAGGAATACGCGTAATACACCATCACGTTAGACAAACATGCCATATGTCCAGGCTTTGCAATGTTTCATTATGCAGAGACTCGGTATCGCATGCGGAAGGGCATCACGCTTCTTCCCTAGACCTTCGTCTTTGACCAATCCCTCATGAAATCCTCCAGCTTCGCCCAGAGCAAAAAAGACGGTGGGCACAGTCGTGTCAGTCGCTCCTTGAGTATGTTGCGCGGAAATTTTGCCCTTTTTTAAATTCCTTTGTAAAAACATCCACACGCTGAAAACATTTTTTCTTTCCATGGGGACCCGGTATCTCGACGACAACTCCCCTAGGGGCAAAAGGAAGAGAGAGGGACAGACGGGATGATCATCAACAAAAACGCTTTGTATTTTGAAAATGTTTTACGTTTTTTTTTTGTCGTTGGTGTCATCAGGTCCAGAAATGTTTCTCCTCAATTCGGCCCGGGAACTGTTTACTCGACCTTGCTCTCAAAGTTCTCACCCTCGACCAGGTCGGGGATGTCGTCCTCCTCACCGTCCTTGCCCTCCTTCTGCATGTTCTGGTAGCTCTCGGCGAGCTTGCGGAGGGAGGCGAGGGAGTCGGGGCCGAGCTGGTTGAGGATGCCGGGGACGAGCTCGGTGAGCTCCTTGTCCTCGCCGTGGCCGTAGATGGCGAAGGTGTTGGCGGGGACGGCGGCGTGGACTATTGGTTCAGGTCTCAGCGGGATGTTTCTCTCAAGTGACAAACAGCGCGTGCGGCAGCAGCACAGCACCGCAGCAGCGACAGCTTCATGCACGGGGACGGGATGGTGACATACCCTTGGGGGCAGCGAAGTGTATGACGTTGCCGTCAGACTTGAACATGTTGACCTCCTCAATGGCCTGGATGGGCTGGACGTTGAGCTTCTTCAGGGCGGCCTGGAGCTTCTTGTCGTCGGCGGCGGAGCGGGCAGGCGCGCGCTTGACCTTTCTGCGGGGGGTGCCCTTGCCGCTGTTGTCGGGATCGGTACGTTAGCCATCTGATGTTCCCATATCAAAAGCAAAGCCGCATTTCGGTGAATCGTGCTCTGTCTGGTGGTGACAATTTTTCTCTCGTGGTTCGGAGGTAGAGCTGGGGGCAGGTGGTGAGGGGTCATTTTTCGCGGATTGGTCACAACATACCCTGCGCACACAACCTTGTCAGCCTTGCTCTGCGAGTCAAACAGCGATTCCTGCTCTAGGAAAATCAATTCCAGAGCTCAAAGAACAAACATACCGATACGCGCGGAGGCACCGAGCTTCTTGAGGCGTTCCTGGACGTCCGACATGGTTGCGATATCGACGGTGGTGTTTTTGGCGGAGGGGGGAGGTGGTGGTGGTTTGAGGCGGGAGTGGGGGGTGGTAAGGTGGAAGGAAATCGGGCGGGTTTAGGGAAGCTGTGCGCGGGTACCTCAGGGCAATTAGCAAAATGGTCTCTCGTTTTCGCAGGCGACGGCGGGCAGAACCAGCCGCCCAACCAAGAAATTTTTTTCGCGGCCGGGGGGGAAAGCTGCCCAGGTGCACTGGCGATGCCGGGGAATTTTTCACTTACCCGTAACTCGTTCGTATGTCCCGTCTTATGTCGTAAGGCTGAGCCGCTGGAGCTGTGGTGATGGTCAATGTCAAGATGGATGTTTTGTGCGTGCCAAGATTCTTCGCTTGCGGAAATAGTATGTGCCGAGGCTTGTGTGGTGTGATCTCACCGACACTGACCGAAGCACACCCGGGGAGGTGAGGGGCGGTGGAGGGGTCAAGTCCGCGAAATTTTGCAGCGCGAACATCACTATTCGATGCAACAATTGGAAAAGCCGAGATGTCGTCTCCATTTGATTTGTAGCTTCGTAGATTCGCTGTTCTCTTTGACTACCCAATTACAAAGTTCTCTCCTTGAACGCCATTGACCAGCCCTCATAGGTTTCATGGTATCTTCTGTTGTTTTACAGCCATTATGATATGCACCTCCCTGGTGTCTGGCCCGTCATGTATAATACAGTCCTCGCTCGCGACGGACGATAATTCATAGTGTCGAATGATCATCGCTCTACAGTCCCGACTCTTTCCTCATGGCCTCCTGCTGCGCCTTGATGTCGTTGTCCCTTTGCTTCTTCGCCGCAAGCTGCGCTATCCGTTGCCTCTCGATGTCCTCGTCTCGAACCGTCCAGACTGCGCGCAGGTTAGCAAAGCCACCTCGGACATATTCAACAACCGCGAACTTACTCGGCTTGTCCGACTTGGAGTACTCCTTCAACTTGGTGACGAAATGGTCAAACTCGGCCTGCGTCTTCTCACGGTTCTCCAGACTCCTCTTCTGCAGCTCGGGGTTGTATCGCTTGAAGAGCTCCTCCTCGGTCGGGGTCACCCAGATGGTGAAGGCCGGCCCGCCGACGCAGATGGCCGCTCCTCTGGAAACAAATCGTCAGTCATTCGTTTCTTTAGCATTATTTCCATTCGAGCACCGCACATACCCCAGCACCATCTTTCCCCATAACTTCCAATTGGTAGCCTTCTTCGACATTGTGACCGTTTCTCGTGATTCTCTGGCTAGAAGATGCACAAAAGCTCAACAGGCCGGCGCGGAGGACCTCGGACTAGACTTCTGCGACGGGAATGCTACTACCGCCCAATCGATGACGAACCTGACGCGCTTGATTGGAGATTTGCCTTTGCCGCTCAAAAGGGAAGGCGGTGGGAAGCTTTCTATGCAAAGTTATGTCAGCAGAAGCTGGTTGGCTCACGGATCCGGCGGAGGTCCATGCAGGTGATTCTATCCCAGCAGAACGTGTGTGTGGCTTGTGCTTCCCCAAGAAGTCATTCAAAGGCCGTTCATTCGTTCCTCCGAGGAATTAGAGCACGCCGCAGCTCCTCCACGGCCTCCAATCATGAAGTGGTAGGGTCCGTTCGAAATTGATTGAACACGCCCACGAGGACTGAACCGTTGTCCGTTCGGCTGGTGTGGCACACCGTTCCGTTAACCATTCGCACCCACAGACCAGTTCGCAGCACATCCTCTCCGCGATTCGACCTCATGCCCAGGCGGGATCATCGATGGTTGGGTGTTGATGCAGACTGCAGGTTCGTGGCGCGGGCGGGCGGAAAGGCGCAACGCCGTGGGATGAGTATGTGTTCGTCCTTGGTCCAACACAATGCGCGGCAGAGTAGACATAAAACGACACAAGCAGCACAATGGGGATGTTGGTTTGGATGCGGCATATTGTTGCTGCTGCGGAAAGAGGCAGAGCAGCGAATGAGAAACACTGGAAATGAACCGACGCGCACTGCTAGCAGCCACATCTCAACGCATCTCATCTTTCCTCCGTTCTCCCGCCGTCGTGCTCTGACGGAACAATATTGTCTGGCTTGATGATGGGATGAAAGGAGGGAGAGCGAGCACCGACCCCTCCGTGATGGCGCGGCAAGAGTTCCCCGGAAACACAATCTGCGCGGGAACTTGCCTGCCCGCAAGACACCCTTCTGAAGATGCAAAGAGTTCGGCTTAGCCTTTCGAGGCAGATGTCGATGCCGTCGTGGCGAAAAAGGGAAAAGGGAAAAGAAAGGTTGCTCATGCGTTGTTGAACCTGCCGTCATTCCCGTCTTGGGCGGCGTGGTTGTTGTTGCATTTCCCATGTGGATGGTCCATCAATCGCGCGCTCATTCGACGGGCGGCCGTTGAAGGACGTCTTCGGTCCCCACAAGGAAACGCCGGCTTGCGACCGCTCAGCCCTCCAAGGTGATTTAGTCTATTAGTTCCTCGTGAGGGCAAAACGGTCGTGCCTGAAGACGACCTGACTGCTTGAGTGAGAACAGCATGAAGAGGCAACTGGCTGGCTGAGGGGCGGCCGACATGAATCCACACCCACTTCCTTGGCCGTACGTTGGCCGGGCCGAACGGCTTCGCCTCTTTACTTGGAGAGTTCCCACACCGGAGACGGCCGGCGGCGACAGACAGGAATGCGGAAACTCCGTAACGGATACGATAGGACAGAGGCCTCCTCAGCATGACCGGAGCAGTCGACGAATGGCAGAGCTTCGTGGCCGCTGCCGCGAGGACATGTGCCCTTGCTAGCTAGTTATGCTTCCCCCCCCCCCCCCCCCCTCCCCCCCCCCCATCCACACCGATGAGAGGCAACATGCCAAAATCACAAGGGGTCGCCCTCCGCGATCAGAAGGAGGCTAGCGGCGCTGCCTCGGGCTGACTGCATGAACCGGCTGTCAAATGTAAGGAATCCCGCAAACCCGTCGACGACCTGCTTTGAACTTGGACGCTCGCACTGCGAGAGCACCGAGCAACAGGACGGGAGCAGGACGGGCAGTGGAATGACGGAAGGGGATGGATGGATGGGCAGGCAAAGACATGAGACGAAATGTCGCGGACAGGACAAGGCTCCGTTCGGCGCACAGAGGCTCACTGGAAACTTAATTGCCCCTGGTATCGGCACTGATGAAGCATTGGCTGAGGGTCCGAAGGCGAAGGGGAGGGTAGGGTTCGCTCTCGAACTCGAAGAAGTGTTTCCTCGCCTTCGCTTTCTCGCCTGCCTGCCTCGACGGGCTTGACTTCAGACCTGCGGCTGGAGAGCTGAGGTGAAGCCAAACCCCCTGATTTGCTGCTGACTGTGTGATAATACTGGAGAAGCCAAGGGCAAGAAAGCCCAGCAAGGTCGACGAGGGAGCGGAAAGGGATTGAGGGGGCTGAAGGGAAGGGGCCCAATCAGGTTCGCCACTCGGGGGTTTCTGATACAACAGCGCTGGGCTCTCTTGTGTGGTGAGGTATGACGGTGCCTGACGGGAGGTTAAAGGGAACCCAGAGCGCGCATTGCTTCCGTTCCATTAGGGACTGATCCTTGCGCCTTAATAGGGCACATTGTGCGACTTGAGGCCAGGTCCCACGGCCTGGCAGCAGGCGGGATGCCTGGTCGTTTTTTGCCCATCCTCTGAGGTTTGCATCGCTCGCGGAGGCTGGAGTGCACTTTCATGACACGTTGTCGGATGAAGCTTTGCAGCGTGTGGAGGTCGAGAACAGAGATATGTCTTTGATCTTGCCTCGTGAGCAGCAGAGACGGGCGGCCGGAAGGGGCATAGCTGACGCTGCGTGCTGAAGACAAAGGCCGGACGTAGCGAGGACACTGCCCAAACGGTATCCGTAGACAAGTGCTCCATGCCAGAGCAGCAAGTTCAGGTTGTTCGAGTGACTGACTGACTCTTCGGGCGGAGACAGAGACAGCGCCTGTGGAATGCGTGGAGTCAATGTATCGGCCGGCTGTGAGCCATGACCTCAGTTCCAAGTCAAGACGCCGGGAAGACCCTCGTTACAGCGCTCGGATGAACTTTTTCAGTGTCCCTGAGGGAAACATTCTTAGGGGGGCCAGCGGAAGGGCAAAGTACCCAAGGCCGACCTGGTACTTCCATTGTCAGTTTGCGAGAGTGAGAGCACCGCCCGCGAGAGAGCCGGGATGGACGAAGGAAGGACTCCATCACATTAACACACATATTCGTCCAGCAACTGCGAGACGTAATGTTAGCATAACAGAGTATCCCATCTGCGTCGCGGAGGGGCGGGAGGGCGGGAGGCCCCAGAGGCAACACAGGGACGACGTCTGCTGTTGTCGAAAGGTTTAACTGTAACGCGGGCTGGCCTGCTGGGATCTGGGGCTGTCGCCTGTTGGGTCTGTTTAATGCGCCTCAACGGCCCCCATTGGCTTTATTGCTGTTCATGGGAGTCGACTGCCAGGCCTCTCTTCCTGCGAATAGCAGACCTCAGTGGTGTTCCTCCACGCTCATGGGCTGAGCTAACTGCGGCAGTGCGAGCGCTGCATCGCGTACCTTGCTTTAGTGAGGTACTTGCGTGCATCCCGTGGTGCTCTCGTCATCTGGTGGCCTTGCAACTACGCAGTACCTAGACAGTAACCACTTTACCAAGACAACTCCCGTCCCAGAGTACGTACCGCTGGCAGCCAACCAACGAACCCACCGCAGCATCAGCGACCGCCCGGGGGCCCTGGGAGACGAGACACAAGACAACCCCTCGTCCATTATCCATCGATATCCGCCCAACCCAGTCGACTGTCCGCAGTCCACAGTCCACAGTCCACCGCCCACTCTGAGTCTGTCCTCCTTCTCCTCCTCCACCACCACCCCAGTCTGTCTTTATTCACCTGCAGTTTGCAGACAGGCCGGAGAGACACGCGCATACAGAGAGGGGAGACCGGCAACAGACCCGACAACACGCACACCACACACCACACACTGCTGCTGTTGCTGCTTATTTGCTTGGTGTGTGTCTCTCTGTCGCTCT